TTTGTTTTTGTTTTCTCATCCACAATACTGTGAATATATTTTCTAATATTTGGCTCCCTCCTGTGGACAAAGTCAAACTAGCACATCTTCACCTGGTTCAGAAGGCTCTCTCAAACCTGCTGCAGTGACGTGACTAAATAACTGAAAAATCTCCTTAATTATGTTAAATTAGTTCTCAGCAATGAAATTCGATTAACTGTCAGCTTCATTACTAGTTTTGAGCTTGTCCAAAAGTAAAGAAATATGACATAAAATAATGTAACAGTTTAATGATAGTTGAATAAGGGTTCAGGTCACATCCTGTCGGCTTCATTGCAAATCCAGTGTGGTGCCGTGTCGGCAAAACGGAGAAAAAGTGCATCCTTGTCTAAATACTTCTGCACGTGGCTCAGTTTCCATCACCTGGTCTAAATGTTGGGACTTTTTGTCCATCAGGGGGAACTCCGTTTCCAGGAGGAGTCAAGCAGAACATGAACAAGTAAATAAATAACTACACATGCGTCAGGGAACTCTGTTTATGTTTTTACATGTGAAAGAAAACATATCAGAGTTTTTAATCACTAAATATTGGCATCAGTTTTAAAAATCCCATAGTGGTCAGGCTCTAGTCTGCACTATAAATGGAGAACGGGTGGAATCTGACTCCACCTTCAGGTTTCTGGGCACCCACATGTCCACTGATCTCACCAGGACCCACAACACCATCGCCCTGGAAAAGAAGGCCCAGCAGCAGCTGCACTTCCTCGTGTCCTGAGGAAGAAGAACCTGGACCAGAAGCTGCTGCTGGCCTTCTCCTGCTCCTCAGTAGAGAGCTCAGGCCACTCACACACGGACTCTGTACTCAGACCAAGTCCTTTGCACTGCTTCCAAACACTTTGGCCTCCAGTGTTTTCCTTTCTCTAGTTTGTATTTTCTCCTGTCTGTTATTTATTCTGTTGTCTTATTAGTTATAATTAACTCCTGCACAGTTGTTGTGGAGAGCTCATCATTTCATTGTACATGTAGAATGACAATAAAGGGCTCTTCTATTCTATTCTATTCTATTCTATGGTCACAAAGGCATTGCTGCGCATGGAGCCTTGCAATGATGAAACCAGGAGCTATAAAGTGGCTTTAAGGATCATAGTGAGGATGGTTTTCTTACAGCATTTAATTTGTCTGTCTTCTTGGCCTGCGGCTCCTTCATGGTGGAAGCCAGAAGTTCATCCCCTTTGTATTCTTTATAAAGCTCCGCTAAAGTCTCCCTCGTCTCCAGATTGGTGGTCTTCAGATGGTATGCTGGGTCCTGCTTGGCCTTTTCCTCATCTGAAACATGCCAGAAAGAGCAAGAGAAAATGGATGATTTTACCATAGCACATTTATATAATGCGAGAATTACCCATCACCAGAAAAATACTGATAGCTCACCTGGGTCCAACACTTTCAGGTCGTTCTTGACATGGAAAAAGTTGGAGACGTTGAACTTATCCAGGTTTGTGGGGTCCTAAGAAGAGAAAACAATGTCTCTGTTCCTCAAATAAAAGTACTCTTTCATTGTGCAGGTGGATAAAAATCGTGAAACAACATCTCACCTGAAGAGTTATAATATCTTTCCTTGTGAAGGGTTCATCTGTGAGCAGATCTTTAAAACTTTTGGTCTTAATGTTTAACTGCTCAACTGCCTGCATGAAAACAGAAATATTAGAAAGAAAAGCTTCTGTTGGTCATAAGGAAAACAAACGTGGGCAGCAGGTAAAATTTAATTATATGTGTTTCCTTTCTGTTTAACACAAGCTTAGTATCACTACAACTGAATGAACAACACTTTGTGGAATTCATCTGTAAAAATAAACAGAACAACACAGTTTTTGTTTGGAGGGAGATTTTTTGCACACAGTTAATTCTGTGTGATGTAAGGCAGCATCTTGTGAGACCATGTGGGCTGAGCATCTGCACTGTATCACACCAAGACCAAAATCAATATCATCTCTTTCTCCATGTGCGTAATTTTAGACATCGATTTCTGTCTGAAAAGCATCATCGTGAGGATCAATGCAGCAAGAGCACGAGTTCACTGACCTCATAAGAAAACACATTCCCGGTGACCTTGTTGGCAACAATGTGAGAATTATTTGTGAAGACGTTGTACAGAACAGGGCAGTGATACTTTCCTGGAACAAAATGAAGCAAAGAAAAAAAAGTGAGAGAGCAGCAGGCTGAGCAGCAGAGTCCAATCTGCTGCCAGGGGCTGAATCCACTCAAGAAGTCAACGAGTACCTCATGCAATCCTCTGCTGAATTATATCACATCTTCTCCCCTCACTTGCTTTTTTGGGTTTTTATTCCTCCAACCCCCTTTAAGTCAAGCTTTTTTTTTAAGGCTCCCCTCACACAAAGCAAAGCAGTAAGAAAAGTGTGGATTTAAAAGAAAACTAAAGCCTGCATGATTTCAGTGACTATGACCTGGCAAACTAGGCTAATGACAGTATTAAATTTCTTCTACATGCAACTTGTTGTGCCTGAGGTGCATCAAAGCGTAAGCATATTTACCATCATTGTTCTTGGCTATGTTAAGTTTGATGAGGGACTTTGCTTCCAGTTTCTGTGGAGGAAAAGAACAAATTTGCTTCTCAAACTGTACAACAGGGCTTGCGCTACAAGTACAACCACGAATGGATCATCTTACAGAGATCAGTTTCCAGCTGTGACATGGGGGGAATTGTAGAGATGTGCTTCATGATGCATGCTCAATCATCCAGGTAAGTAAATCCCCAAAGTTGATTCTGTTCATCAGGATGTAGCGTTTTCAGTGGGAGAAACGTATCGTCAGTCATCCAAGTGACTTCTTCTATGTGAAAAGGGAAAGACTGAATGGAGGAGGGGGCCTAAGGGTAAATCTTTTGCCATCTTACAATGCTGTGATTGCAGCCATTCACCAACTCTCTGTGAATGGTACTCATGGCCATTGATCAGGGCTTTGTTCAGTGGTTGTTGATCAATGGTCATGAGAATTTGCATAATTATGATTAAGGAACTGACCTCCCAGCCCATTGTTCCTTCAGTGGGCTGGTTTCAGTCATTATGCAAATGTACTGTTTATAAGATTGAAACCTGCAGTCAGCTGAGACTGAAGAAGTCACCTGGATGAGTGACGAAACGTCCAGATGAACAGAATCAACTTTTGGAGATTTACTTTCCTGGATGATTGAGCATGCATCAAGATGTGCTGTATATATATTCATGACTGATAAGTATACTTATTAACTTTAAACAAAATGTCTGGCATTAACACTGTATTTGTGAGCAGCACTTTCTCTTACTTATAATAAAAGCTTGAATATGAAAGAGGAGCTGAACTGGTTATAAAGATAATAATAATAACAACATGTTATACACAGCATTACCCTAAATATTATTCTTATCATTGTAAGACAGTGACCGCTAGCAGTAAATAACATGTTTGCCATGCAGGGTCACGGTAAAAACTTGATATTCTTCTGAATTTAAAATTTATAAACAGCTTAAGGTCAAGCTAACCCGACCCTAAGCTATTGAATTCCACCTCCAGCTTCTATAATTGGCTTGCTCGGCTAATATTTAAGGTCATGTTTTTATAGAAAATTGTGTTTATTTCTTTTTGCGTTGGATGATTAAAACCACAATTTCTGTAAATGAGAGCAGCTTATGGAGCAGTTAGATCATGAAGGAATCGTCGTCTCCTCACCTCTCCAGAGATCGGGTTTGTACCAAACTTCTTAATCCACGGAACAATGCTCCTAAAAACAGGAAGTACACAGTAAATCATTTTTTAGGTTATGCTAAAAGCAAGTAAAATATAAAATATGTAAGAGATACATCATGTTGTGCAAAATTATTCATGCCAAGTGAGATGTCAAGTCACACACCAGATAAATCATCAAAAAAAGAAAAGAAAAATCACTCTCATCAACCAAAACTGAAACAAAACTGATATTTGTTTGGTTTTATTTAACAGAATTAAGGAGAGTGTGACATATCCAAGCTTCCTTTGTGTTAGCTGGCTTGATAAAACCCAGAAACAGAGTTGGAAGCAAATCAGGACCAAGCATAAAAACATATTTTTACTGCAACAACTTAATGACTGGAACACAAAGTTTGCGCTTCTGCAACTTTTCTGTACAGCTTCATCAAGTGGCAGAAATAAGATATAGCCGATGAAACTGCATATTTAATATCTATTCCTTCAGCATAGACTATATAATTTATCATGCTTAGAGCATGTCATCAGGAAAAGAATCACTACATTTGTGGCACTTCTGGATGATTTTAAACCAAAACTCTGAACATACAGGAGGAGGTTATGTGTTCAGCATATGTTCTAATCCAGCCGGGGTTAAATACACTGAAAACTGTCGATTAATGTTGCCTCACAGTACACACTCAGAGCTTCTTCCAAGATCTGCCTGGCTACTGACGGTGTTATGTAAACACTTAAAGGCATCAGACATCATTTACTCACAGCAGGTCGAAGACGACTCCCTCCTCAGTGCAGACAGGATACTCAAATGGCTGAAGGGACAAGCTGAAATATGTCACAGCACAAGTGTCAAACTCACTTCAGCTCATCAATTAACCAAAGTTCATCTGTAAAGCGTCTTTCAGGCACATCAGTACAGCTCAAAATTATTCACAGATGACAACAAACCAATAAAACAACAAGAGTTAACAAAGCAAAGCAAATAACATACGGAAAAACATTCCTAGCATAAGGAATTCAAATTAAATTAGGAAAAATTTAATTAACTTAAAAATGTTTAAAAAGTAAGGTTAGATAAAATATGCTGTAAAGTACAATATCCACCAATATAAAAGCACCAATCAGTGAATAAAAATAAAATGATGTAATGATAAATAAAAATCCAAACAGTACAATGGGGGAAAATTACTAATCAAATAAGGTAAAAAAAAAAAATAAGTGACTCGTGCAAATGTTGAGATGGAGAAGGGAGTTTGAGTTTAAACATTTCCAGCTGCAACTTAGGGAACAAGAGCTAAAAACTGCCCAACCAGATGTTTGTCAGGGGAACTGGTCATACTCTGTCAGTATGAACTGATGGGAACAAAGCTATGACGTACTTTAAAAACGTACATCATAGCAGTTTCTGAACATAGCATGATTTGATTCTATACATGGGGTTTAAAATTAGTTCAATTTTCCTTCCCTTCCTAATAAGTCACCTGCCAGTACTAAGAGAACAATTTGTTCCCTAGTGGACCAAACAACTGCATAATAAAACATCCTTCTTTTAATATTATAAGATGCTGTTTATAATTTGCAGAAATCTAGAAATGGTTCTAACTTTCTAGACACTGCAATTTGTCTGACATCACCTCACCAGGTGAGGCAGAGAAAAATTTGAGATGTCAGTGACTTCAATGCAGTTTTCACACTTCACAAAGCCATTCAGGCGCCAGGCTGGACCCCCAAACAGTACGACAAATACTCAGTCGTTTGCAGCTATTGAACAAAAACATGTTCAGATGCAGATTTACTAACAAAGACATTATCTAACTGTCTTCTAAAGGTGTAATGGGTTGGCCGGCAATTTTTTTTCTAAAGTGCCTCTTCTTTGTCGTCATCATCATGTTCTTCTTTCGGCTGCTCCCTTTAGGGGTCTCCACAATGATCATCTGACTCCATCTTACCCTCTCTCTATCATCCTGCTCTGTCACACATGCATGCCCTTCTTCACTACATCCAGAAAACATCTCTATGGTCTTCCTCTTTTCCTTCTCCCTGACAGCTCCTTCTTTAAAATCATCTCCATCTCAGCCTTGCCTCTCTACCTTTGTCTCCAAATCACTTAACCTGATGTGTTCATTTCTAATCCTGTCAAATCCTGCTCACCCCCAGTTAAAACAGTTTAGCATCTTCAGCTTTGCCTCCTCTCTTTTTGTCAGTGCCACCATCTCCAAACTATAACACTTTAAACACATCACAACAGGCTTCACTGCCATCCTTCTCTTTTCCTCTATCACTTTACTCTTTTGTCGCTTTCTAAGGTGCCTCTTCTCATAATATACGAGTCTCCTGTTACCTGCAGTGGTCGAAGGGAAGCCGTCTGAAGTTTGCTTGTGGGATTTCTGGAAAGTAAATACACAAAGAGAATGTAAGACAAGTAAAAATCAGTTTAATTTTTAAGGACTAAAAACCACTGACAAACCCCCGATCAAGTACAGCAGCCCTCAGCACTTTTTACCTTCAGAGGCTCAGGTTCATTTACAGCACTTTAGCCAAACTTAACAATTATAACATTACTTATAACGACTAACTATAGATAATGCAATCCGTGCAATTAAATATGACTCAATAATAAAAATAATAATAATTTAGAAACATGATTTCAAGCAGCTAAACAAACTAAAGCCCCAAAAACAGCAAACAGCATAAAATTGAATTTCTTTAAAGGCGAAACCCTTCTGAACACGCCTGTGTTAAAGCTTAGTGAGCTAGTCTGAAAGCACGCTGCAAAAACTTGCATAAACTTATATCAAAGACACAAATAAATAAATAACATGAACAGTGTCTCCACAGACGCTGGTTTTAACCAGTTAGTCTGAAAATCAGCTTACCTGCTCGTTTTCCTCCATAAAAGTTCGTGTACTCTGTACATGTGATGTACCTGTAAGGGTTAAACAAAACACAGGTGAGACAACAAAGGCAACGATACAACTTTAATTATAACACTTTAAACTGTTAGTAACGCAACACTCAATACGCTAATGTGGCTTAGCTTGCTACTAGCTTCTTAAGTGCTAACGGTGGCCAAACAAGCCCGTTTCAGAGCTGTTTGATGCTCACGCTTACATTTTGTCTTTCTGGTGCTGTCGCTTCCCCATTTTGACTGATTTTGCAGGTCTGAAGAAATATCCTCAGTCACAAAATAAAATATTAAGACAATAACACGCAATAACCACTGTGTGCCTTTCCTATCTTCCTGTTTACGTTCTTTGTCGTCGTCGTGATTAACTGTACACTGTATGTAACAGCTGCACTCTACTGCCCCCTATTGACAATCCGGTAAAGACATTTTAAGCATTGAATTGAAACAATTAAATAAGGAGCTATACACAATCATGTAGTTCGGTCAGAAATAGATTATTGTGACTCTCTGTAGAGATAAATTGTAGGATTTTTATGAAATATGTAAAAACAGTGTTTGTTTGTTTGTTTTGCCATCATTGAAATAAAATGTGTGACAACCACAGCCTAATTTTGAGTTCCAAATTCATACTGTAGACATACTGTATCATACTGTATTTTTTAAATCAGCAATTTTGTGTTTTATGTCTTTTTATGTCACAGTTGAAAAACTGTTTTCTCATTGATTCTGTGAGCCTGCAGTTCATCTCTTTTACCTTTGGGGACTGCAAAGCACACTTAGCAGAATTTACGGTTGAGCAGAGAGAGCATCTACTGGGGCTCATAAGAGCACTTGAAATGTTACACAAAACAGGTTGATCATAACTTTTATGTGATAAATCATAGTCATACACGATAAAAACACCAATACATTTTTTGCTGCTTTTTTTTTTTTAACCTTTTGTCTACATTTTATTTTGCCATGTTTATTATATTTTACTGCTGCTATTGTTCTTGTGTTATTGTAAGGTGACCCTGAGGGTCTTAAAGGCACCTATAAATAAATTATATATGATTATATATTATGTATTATTATTATTATTGTTATTATTATCATCATCCATTTGAGTGTATTCAAGCTGCCATAAGCCAAACTGACAGGGTCACAAAAACAAAATATTTTAATCAATATTTTTAATAGGCTGACAAGTTGTTACTAACTTCCGCTGCCTGCGTCCACGCACACTGTAACTGTTTGCCAGTAGATTGATTCAAGGAAGATAGAGTCAAACGTTAAAGGATCTTAACCTGCAGCCAAACAAAAGCTATGTGTGCATTTACGCACTTGGCACAGTAACACTATCTACAAGGCACAGATCAGACACGATGTCAGCTTTATAAAGTGGACTATAAGGTGACCTCCACACCAGATTTAAAACTGATTTATAAACAAGATTCTCAGACAATTTCTAACTGAAGAGTTTATGTTTACATAAAAAACACAAACTTTCCTTCAGCTGCCTAATTTGTCCGACAGTCTGTTTCCAGAAAAAACAGCGTGTAAAACCTGCGCTTACCCTGTATACTTTTGGAAAGGTTATTATTCGTTCCTCATGGGTCTGCTTGAGTTTGATCCACTATTTTGTGTTCTTAGTGGAATGCTTCATATCACTGAACTTACCAAATTGGCTGCGTTTTCGCAAACTACAGGCTCACTTATGTAAAAATGATCAATTTTCTTCATTACAAATCTGTTGAATCGTCCAGAAAAGTCCCGTCCTGTCCGAGCTTTGGACACGTATTTGTCTTCATCTTCTTTTTCCTCTTCCAATCTGTGTAGCTGCATCTCTTATTTCTGACATTATTTCTCAGTGTACAAACATAACAAGACAATACAGGATAAATTCATCTACAAGTTTATTCTTTTCTTGGCAATTAATTCGTAATTATGGCTAATCATCGACCTCTTCTAACAAGAGAAGGGAGCAAACAAAACTGGTTACAGAGGCATGATCCAGGGCCTGGTGGTTAGTAAAATGTTGTAATGTGGAGCATTCAGGTACATTCAGATTGCACACTTGTCCTCTGAATCCGTGAACACATGATAAAGATCGACCAACCCTTTATCCAAGGAACAATAAGGACATTTTTAAACTTCACACAGACACCTTTAACGGTAGAGGATGATCTGGAGTGATGGGGTATAAAAATAGAATACAGCGCAGCAACACAAGCACTGCCTGCAAACCTGAGTTACAACTTGCTTTCACTTCTCTCATCACTCATTTAAAAGAACACAGAATAAATTAAAAACTCTACACTGGACTCAAAAACAAGTTTATGTTCTCATCCATGGCACTTTATCCTTCAGGCAGAAACCAAAATGTGACGATGGTGCAAGAAAGGTTTGGGTTACCAGACGTGCGTCTCTCACTGATGAACAAACATCTTTATTAATGACAAAAGGAAAGAAGTACACCACACACTGACAGAAACAAAGGGCCCCAAGAACAAGTCCTTCAGCTGGATTGCAGTTGCTTGTTTGGAAAGTGCAACAATATGTGGATTATCTTCTTAACAGAACAAAAAACATAATAAAAAGAAAAGCGTTTGCAGCGTCGTTCTCTTTGAGAACAACCGAGGTCCATAATTATGGTAAACTGGCGGCCAGCATCTGCTCAGAACCACCCTGAAAATAAAAATGAGTGTTTTTTTCCTTGATAAAACAGTCTGTGAGTGTTTTGGTGAAAAAGAGGAAAGAGATCACCGCAAATCCATCATGGACACGGTGCCATCAGTGATGGTGACATGTCCGGCGTGCTGAAAAAGGAGAAACACATTTCAGTTAGATGCTCAAACAGTTAGCCACTCTGGGGTACGGTACTCCAGGAAGAGTACAGGACCCCATTCCCATCCCTTCTTCCCCCAAAGCAGAGCCAAACAAGAGCCGGACTGGGAATCACAGCAGACGTTTCATGTGGAGGCAGATATACGTCTCCTTGTGATTACAGCAAAGTACTTTTGAAATATTTATTTCTTGGTTTACGCTCTCTTAACATTAATTAGCATGCTGTTGGCCAACGATGTGGACAGTGAGCCATTCATAAAGCTGTAATATCACACGTTTGCACACAAATAACTTGTGGAAAAATCCTTTTAAATTCTATTTTGGGACAAAAATAATCCGTTTCTCAAGCTTTTGTTTTTTTAAACAGCTTTGATTCTACACATGCAGTTTTTCATTACTAATATAAATAAAAAAGCAATTCTCAGGAAGATTTAGGTAGTTCGATCTGATGAGAGTTATCCAGCCCACAGATTAGTACGGAGTTAAAACTGGAGGGCTTTCCTGATGCAACCCTCCCATCTATCCGCCTTTGGGACGGCCATTGTGAGGACACTAAGCTCGTGACTCCCTGAGGCTGGATTTGTGTCTCCTCCTTGTTTGGATGCTGGGATTTTTCACATGTTAGAGAAATGTAAACTATTAAAACATTTAAGTTATTTTATTGAAAAAGTAATAATCAAATCTATTTAAGATGTTTTATTTTTCTCTATGAACCTTTAATCTGACTGAGATACTGCAGTAAATATAAGAAAACGCCTCCTATTGAGTAGATTTGAGTACTCTTTGAGTTAACTGACCTTTTAAAAATATCTCATATAAGAAAGAAAGAAAAAGCTACACTGAACCCTTGGTCATCACTTCATCTGCACTTTTTTGGCAATAAGCCCTGCCCGTGCCAAAAATCATATACGACTTTCCACAGAACACTGTGCACAGTACATCTATGTGTAGGGAAGATAAACTGTACTCTACAGCTGCGGGAAACAAGATCTTTATTCTGGAGAGTTGCATCTACCTGCATGCCACCCTGGCACGTAAAAAAAAAAAACCCAGGCACGTCAGAGCTTTCAGTCATACGTTATAAACATGTTTACTTTTTGCAAGACTACAGTTGGATTCCTTTTGAGGTTATTTCCCATCATGCACATGGTGGAAATTTACAAGCAGAAAAACTGGAGCAGAAACAAGGAAGGAGCTTTTGGCCACACCTGCAGTTCTGTGTGGAGTAGTTTGTTCTAAATAAAGATAAAAGAGCTTTAAGAATAAAAAAAAGATCTGGCAGAATGTGGGCACAGCATGGAGCGAGCGCAGACTTCAAATAATGTTAAACATGGCTGACTTTATTGGAATGCCAAGACAGGAAAAAGACTCAGTTTCCTGACTACCAAACAGGAGATGATGATGATGCAATCCCACTACAGCTTTAGTAAGACTGCTGAGATTTTACTGCGACACTGAAATCACTTTAATAGTCATTTGGAGTGAGGCCAGTACTTTTCCTTGTTCTAACTGGCTGGTTAGAGGCAAGTAAAATAAGTTTCCAGGGGAAGTGGTGAGGCTCAGTCACGCAGTCTGTCAAGATGAGATTATTTTTACATCATTATTAACAATCCTTCGAAAAATAAAAGACTCCAGTTAGTTACTGGAAATTATAATCCTGTTTAAACACTTTGGGATTTTCAAAATAAAATGTAACTCCAGTTATAGGAGTTATAGAAAATAATCTGGATGCACAGAAGATTTTTTTAATAAAAGCCACGAGTTAATTATAGGATGCTTTAGTGTTAGATTTTTCAAAATAACAGCGCGTTTTTCTTTTTTTGTGCCACTTGCAGTTAAATTTGTTTCTATAATCCTAAATCATCTATATAACTTCAATATCCCCAGAAATTGCATCGTTTTCTTTAGCAATACAAATTCTTTCCATTTGCGACAACACTGCATCTATGACTTCACAGCACAGACATACTTACTGTAAATAGAGGTGGCTCTTTGCTGTGAGGATGAAACCCTTTCTGTTTACATGTGGAAATCTCATCTGTTCCCCGATCTGTCAGTCTGAAGTAGCCAATTCTGAAACACACACACACACACGGTTAGATCACAGAAAAAGACAAAAAACATCCCATAGTTTCTAAAGACAGGACACTGAGTTCTCCCACTCACTCGTTGAATTTAGGCGAGCAGACTATCGCGATGGCCTCTGGCAGCATGATCTGGTAGGAGCAGTGCGTGTGGAGGTCTACGCTGGACAGGAAGGCTGTCTGTGTGGGGTGAGTCTGGGAAACACACAGGACAGACCTCAGTTTACTTCAGTGCTCATCACACAGCAGAACAGGACCAGTGGTAGCCACGAGGACTTATTCTTGTGAGCCAAACTGTAGTTTATGCAGGTCAGAATGTCTAAAAAAAAAGTTTAACTATACACCTGAACTAATACAAATTCAAAACCGAACAGTGAACAGTTTCACATTAGGCGGCAGGTTTTAGTACCTACTCTGACTTTGGTTGATACGAGGTTCCACACAGTTAAGCAGCATTAAAGTACGGTTCATTACTGAAGAATGTGATGGGTGGTTTCTAATCCCTCTGCTTAGACAGTTTTTGACAGCCTCCATTAAACAGTCCTCAATTTTAGCTTCATATTTGAGCGTTGCTTCTTCCTGTTCTTGTCGCTAATTTCAGAAAGGTTGCTTCCTATCAGTTGACCTGTTTTTGTAGGTTGCAGTTATATCTTTACTCGTGTGACTGAGCCATTGGTTTGCTCTGAGTTAGGAAGAATCTCAGTATGAGGTGAGCGCTCTTATTTGTAGTGTTCATATAGTATTTTAATTTATTTAATACAATGCTAATATTTGGTGTTGCTGTATTAATACAATATCACCACACAAAATATTACGATACTTTTTCCCCTCGGCCCTCGTGAACACATGAGGAAAATCTATTTTAGTGTGAAATCAGACAGAGGATTACCTCAC